TCAAAAAATGAAAACTATGTGTCAATTTTTTAAAAATTAAAAAAAATAAAACTTATACTGCTGGCAAACAAAAAATATATATCATAAAAATGCATGGTTTCTAATACAAACATATGTAGAAACATACAGTAATATAGATGTGTTATCATCAGTTAGTACACATACAGGTATATCTAGCTTTATCTCCTGAGAAGTCCCAGAAATAATGACATTCCAGTTAGCAATGTCATATCTAGTACCAGATTTTTTGTTTCCTGTACTATTCTCCAACAAAAGGGACAAGGGATCCTTAAAGAAATAGTTGATTCCAGGCTGGGACAGGGAACATTCAAGATGAGCTTGGAGCACCTTGTGGTGCCTGAAAGTAAGAAAATCCTCAAAAAAGGATGGGGACTTGTCAAAGGAACATAGGAGCCAATCCGAAGGAGTCTTACAGCTAAAGCTGGAATAATCTGAGCAACAAAATAAATAATGATAGTATTGGATTTTATTCCCATAGAATAAGATAAATATCCATTGGTCCATACTGAAATAATTAAATAACTGAAAAAATATATGAGAAGAAGGAACTCTTCATTACAGAGAATTCCAAGCAATAAATGTAGAAGGAAAGAAGAAAATTTTAAAAATCAACATTAATTAAAGACCATAGTAATAACTGTTGCTAAAAAGAGTCACCAATGGATATTAAAATTAGCTGGCAAAAGTTTCAGGAGAAACAGGATATGTGCATAGTTTCATACTATCTCCTCTAAGATATTTATTAACTATAAAAGATGGTAATTTTGCAGATCACACCTTAACCAATCAAGATTAACATCATAAGACATGCCCATCAATTCATGAGTGAATTAATAAAATGTGGTATATGTATACCATGGAGTACTACTGAGCCACAAAAGACAATGGAGATCTCCACTCAGAGGCCACTAACACCTATCAAAAATATCAATATGATCTTTCACAGAATTAAAATTAAAAACTATCCTAAAATTGATAGGGAACCAAAAAAGAGCCCAACTAGCCAAAGCAATCCTGAGCAAAAAGAACAAAACTGGAAGCATCACATTGCCTGACTTCAAAATTATACTACAAGACTACAGTAATCAAAATATCACAGTACTGGTATAAAAATAGACGTATAGATCAATGGAACAGAACAGAGAATCCACAAATAAAGCCACATATTTACAGCCAACCAATCTTTGACAAAATCAACAAGGGCATACAATTGGGGAAAAATACTCTTTTCAAATAAACGGTGTTGGGAAAATTGGACTACCATATGCTGAAGAATGAAACTGGACCCCTATCTCTCACCATATACAAAAACCAACTCAAGATTGATTAAAGACTTGAATGTAAAGCCTGAAACTATAAAAAATACTAGAAAAAAAAACTAGGGAAAACACTTTAGGACATTGGGCTAGGCAAAGAATTTATGACTAAAACTGCAAAAAGCACAGGCAACAAAAACAAAAAAGACAAATGGGACTTAATTAAATTAAAAGGCTTCTGCATAGCAAAAGAAATAATCAAAAGAATGAATGGACAGACAACCTGCAGAATAGGAGAAAATATATGCAATCTATGCATCCTATAGGGGATTAATATCCTGAATTTACAAGGAACAACTCAACAAAACAGCCTAACTAATCCCATTAAACAGTGAGCAAAGGATATGAATAGACATTTTTTAAAAGAAGACATACAAATGACCAACAGGCATATGAAAAAATGTTCAACATCACTAATCATCACAGAAATGCAAATTAAAACCACAATGAGATATCTTACACCAATCAGAATAACTATTATTAAAAAGATTTAAAAAATGGGCCAGGCGTGGTGGCTCACGCCTGTAATCCTAGCACTCTGGGAGGCTGAGGCGGGTGGATCTTTGAGCTCAGGAGTTCGAGAACAGACTGAGAAAGAGCAAGACCTCATCTCTACTAAAAATACAAAGAAATTAATTGGCCAACTAAAAATATATAGAAAAAAATTAGCCAGGCATGGTGGCACATGCCTGTAGTCCCAGATACTAAGGAGGCTGAGGCAGAAGGATCGCTTGAGCCCAGGAGTTTGAGGTTGCCGTGAGCTAGGCTGATGCTTCGGCACACTAGCCTGGGCAACAGAGTGAGACTGTCTCAAAAAATAAAGAAAGAAAGAAACGATGTGGAGAAAAGGGACTTATACAGTGTTGGTGAGAATGTAAATTAGTACAACCTCTAAGGAAAACAATATGGAGATTTCTTTTTTTGTTTGTTTGTTTGCAAAAGTTTATTTCAGAAGTGTGGTTTGATAGGTATATATGCAGGCATACCGTTCATATCCCTGTCATTTCTGAAGAGCACATGTGGCAAATTAGGAAAATTGATATGGGTCTGCTCTACACATCTTAGATTGTAGTAAGTCATCATTAGTCACATGGCTGCCACTGCCTCCCAAAGCAAATCCATCTTTTTCTTTTCCAATTTATTTATTTTCTTTTTTTTTTTTTATTTCAGAATGTTATGGGAGTACAAACATTTTGATTACATGGTTAATGCCTGTGCATCACCCAAGCCAGAGCTACAAGCCTGTCCATCCCCCATACAGTCCACTCTGCACCCATTAGTTATGAATTTACCCATCCCCTCCCCCTTCTTCCCACCTGCGCAGCACCCAATGAATCTTACCCCCATGTGAGCACCTGGAGATTTCCGAAAGAACTAAAAATAGAACTACCATTCAACCTAATAATTACACTAATCGGTATCCACCCAAAGGAAAAGAAATCATTATATATTAAAAAAATACCTGCACCCATATGCTTATCACAGTACTATTCACAATAGCAAAGATATGGAATGAACCTAGGTGTCCATCAGCAGAGGATTGGATAAAGAAAATGTGGTATATAGACAACAGAGTACTATTCAGCCATAAAAAAATTAAATCATGTCTTTTGCAGCAATATGCATGGAACTGAAGGCCATTATCTCAAGTGAAACCAGTCAGACACAGAAAGACAAATACTGCATGTTCTCACTTACAAGTGGGATATGCATAACATATACACATGAATGTGGAGTGTGGAATAATAGATCATGGAGACTTGAAAGAGTGAGGGGCAGTAGATGATGAAAGATCACATAACACATACAATGTATGTTATTTGAGTGGTGTATTCCCTAAAAGCCCTGACTTCATCACTATGTAATCTATGCATGAAACATTATACTTGTATCCCATAAACTTATACAGGAAAAAAAGGAAATAGTCTAAAAGCATGCTGTCCAATATAGTAGCCATTAAGCCATATATGGTTATTGAGCACTTAAAATGTGTCTAGTCCATATTGAGATGTGCTGAAAAAGAGTGAAATACATGCTGGCTTTCAAAGATTAGTACAAAACAAACAAAAATAGAAAATATATCAATAATGTTTATATCATTACAAAAAGAAATGATAATATTTTGGATACATGGTTTATATAAAATATATTTTTAAAATTAATTTCATCTATTTTTTAGATGACAAAAAATTTTTAAATTGTATATGTTCACATGTTTATAGTAGCATCATTCATAATAGAAAGTGGAAGCAACCCAAATGTCCATCAACTGATGGATGAATAAACAAAATGTGATATATTCATACAAGAGAATATTACTTGGCAATAAAAAAGAATGAAATACTGATTCATTCTATGACACAGATGAACCTTGAAAATATGCTAGCGAAAGAAGCCATTCACAAAAGGTGACAAATTATATTATTCCCTTTATATGAAATGTCCAGAGCAGACAAATCCATAGAGACGAAAAGCAGGTAAGTGGTTGCTTAGGGCTTGAAGGGCGGGAAATGGGGAATGATCGCTATTGGGTATGAGGTATCTTTTGGGGATAATAAAAATGTTTTAAAATGTATTGTGATGATGATTATACAACTCACTATAGCAAAAAGCACTGAATTGTACACTTTATACAGGTGAATTATGGCATATATGAATGATATTTGAATAAAGCTCAAAAAAATCCATAGGATGCCTTTTCTGAGGGGAATGACATTAGAGTGACAAGCCTCACTTGGGCTCCTCCTGAGTTTAAAGAAAGAAAGCTGCAATTTCCTACCCAGAGGACCAGAGGTTCCCAACTGGAGGCCTTTGGGCTGTGTCTAGTCCACAGGCATGTTTAATTCTGAGCTTACATTTGAAAATCCTGAGATTTCAGTTTTTAAAAATCCAGCTTCCCAACATCTCTTGCCATCAGCAGATGACAGCCCAGCCTGGCTCCCCTGATAAGCATTAGGCTGCGACAGCACCAGCACAGAGCTCCCCACCACTCCCTGCCACCTCCCTTCCACTGAGGCTGAGAGTCCATTACCATTATGGAAAAAATGTTTTTCTCCATCCAAATAAGATAACAAAAACTGAGGGGGTCTCAGAGTTTCAGGAAAAAATGAGTGACTTCAGAGAGCTCTGTGGGAGTAAACACAGTTTGCCTGTTTCACAGGCTAACAAGGTACACCTGTGTCAAAAGAAACAGCTTTTCCTTGCATGTGCCGGCTTCACTCTTTCCGGTGGTCTGTCTGGCCCCAGTGGGTACGGACGTCTGCAATTCCTGTGTGAGATTCTAAGCACCATAAAGGCAGAATCGTGTCTGTTGTCTGCTTCACAACTTATCTCTGGCAGCTAACACAGATTTGGCATAAAATACAGCACCTTAGTAACCATGTGATGAGGGAGGGAAATCTCACAAATGTAGTGAGAAGCCAATGTCCTAGTCATTCAACCTCACAGAAGCCATTTAAAGGTGAAAGAGCACATGGAGCCCAGAATCCCTCCTTCTCTCACTCACCTCCCTTCTGCACCCAGCCCGCTCTCAAGCACGTTTAACCCCCTGAGCCGGGGACAGGATGGAATGGGCAAACGTTGACAGTCGGTTGTGTGTGGGCCTTCAAACGCCTGAAACCATCCAGCCCACGGCACATGCTCCAGCGTGGTGCTGCTACTTACGCTTGATGTGGTAGCCTGGGGAGTGGGCGGCCACGATGTGCAGGACGGTGCAGCCATCCTGATCCTTCTGGTTGATGCGGCCTTTCCACTCAGGCTTGTGGTCCATTAACCACCTGAAAAGACGGTTTTCCCCTAAAGGGAATTAAAAGGACTTACTGATGTTATTTTCTACACACAGAAAATCAGCAAAGCGAGTCAATGTGTACCCCATTGAGGTAACCAAACGGGGACCCCAACACGTTTCCACTCCCCACAAACAGGTGTGGGAGACACAGGAGTTTGTAAATTGAAAGGATCAGTTAGGTCAGGTTTGCTAGGAGCCTGAGACAGGGTTTCTTATACATGTGACTGATTGAGCTAGAGATATCAGGAGAAAGAGAGGGAAGGAAGCAGGACAGGGCAGGAGAGGGAGCTAAGCAAGAATGTGGTCCTAGCTGGAATCGCTCCAGCTGGCCCCACAACCCCACGATGAGCTCTGGGGCAGGAACTGCACCACAGCCTTGGCCCACCCTGAGGGATGGGAGCTGGCCTTTTGAATCCCCATGTCATCTAGTCAAGAGCTACAGAATGCCCCTGGGGAGCGAGGGGAGGTCCAGAGAGAACCTCCCTAAGAAGCATGCCTGCTGACAAAGAGCAATTCTTGAGCGAGGGGACAGCTGTGAAGTGTTAGCAGCCAACACTGACAGCAGGTGGGGGTGGTGAAGAGTTTTCCACTTCACTAATCAAGACAGTATCTCTGATTAGCTTATCCTACTACATTACTATCAGTGGGACACACATTTTAAATTCTTTTCCCAGCCTCCTTCTTTGTAGCTCTTAGAAAGCCACAAACCTCTGCCAACTCTGTGGACACCATCTGTCACCATGCCAGTTGTCCTCTGAGAAATGAATTAGGGATAAACTTGAAGGCTTGTTCTTACCAACACCACCTGTAACTGCAGGAGCTAACTTAAAGAGTAGAACACAATGTGGAATCATGACATTGATAATCATAGGCACACTTCTTGGCATTCTAGTTTCCTAATCTGAAACTGGAAGGGTTAGATTAAATTGCTTTTAATCAGACTTTACTTTTAAATGTTTTATCCACCAATCCCTGACTAAGAATAAAATCTCCTATGCACTCTCCATGATATGAAAGAGATAATGATGGCACACATCTGGTTAAAGCAAAGAGGGTCCCAACTCATCATTCCCCCATTCCCCAGGAGATGATACAGCCTATAAGAGGTAGACTAGACAAATTCTTCTGGTCCCTTCTGGCTCTAAAATGTTATGGGCAAATGTCCAATAGTGACACCACATAATGGAAAGGAAAACAAACTTCTGTCTTAAGTGTGAGTGTGTGTTAATGATAAAATAAAAATATTTTATTTTAAAAATAAAATAAAATAAAAATATTTTATTTTATATTTAAAATTTAAATCCTAAATCCTATAACTAGATGATGAAGCTTTAAAAAAATAATAATCTAATGGGCTGGGCACAGTAGCTCACACCTGGGAGGTCAAGGTGGGAGGATCACTTGAGGCCAGGAGTTCAAGACCAGCCTGGGCAACATAACAAGACTCCATCTCTACAAAAAATTTTAAAAATTAGCCAAGCGTTTTGGCACATGCTTGCCTGTAGTCCTAGCTTGTCAGGAAGCTGAGGCAGGAGAATTGCTTGAGCCCAGGAATTGGAGGCTGTAGTGAGCTATGATCACACCACTGTATTCCAGACTGGGCAATAGAATGAGACCCTGTCTCTAAAAATGATAATAATAATAATTTTATGAAAAATAGCAGTCCTTTAAAAGAACCATAACCAAACTGTACCAGCAAGATCCCATGTGCCCCTTGAGATCCTCCCAGCCACAGTCCCAGAACACAGCAATCACCAGAAAATGAACGTTAGGAAAAAGACCAAAGCTGTCTTTGCCAGCAGGAGGAAACCCCACATCTCTCCTGAGAGTACTGCCCAGCAAAAGCCGTCTGTCCCAAGTCCCGTCCTTTGGTCCCAGGGCTCCATCCTGCTGCCAGGAACATGGAATCCTTCCAGTTGGGTCTCCTGTAGCTACCAGGTCCCAGGAGAAATAAAAATGATGCTGTTTCCCTGCTGCTTCATTCATTTGAATAATCAAATAATTTGAATATTCAAATGATTCAAATATTCTACATTCAAGGGGCTAACTTCTAGTTTCACTTGAGCTCAGCAGAGTCCCAGAGCCCAGAGCTCAGAGCTGGAAGGGCAGCCTGGAGGGTATATAACTGGGAGAAGACTCACTCGCTTGGATACAGAGTCGCATGAGGGCATGAAGAGGGTATGGTCCTATAGTCTCGATACTTGCACCGATGGAGATGAGCCACTGGACTAACTTAGGAACATGTTCCATTTTTTCATAAAGTCCAATGTAGACATATTTCTGGGGAAAAAACACACAGGAAGAATCATGAAAGTCACTACATCAATATGAAACTTCCAACTTCTTCACTGATAGTTTGAAATCAGTAAAATCTAGATTAGCTGTGGCCCAAGCGTAAGATTATTATAAATAACAAATTTGTGGTGAGGCAGTTGAAGAGGAAGATCCCAGATACAAGGCTGAAGTAGCCTGATTTGAAGCCATATGTTTCAAGAAGCCACCTTACCTCAAAGAGAGTTCTCAGTGATAACTCTGGGACATGGATATTTCTTGGTAGTCGGTCTTTTTTCGTTGCCAGAAGTAGAAATGACTGGTGGGAGGGGAGAAAAAGAACAGGTAGGAATAACGTTCCCCACATAGGCTACTAGAGCAGAGAGGTTATTTTAAGCTTTTAAACAAGCAAACAAAAAACAACCCACCCTCTACCTTGTCTCCTTTTTAAAGCTACCTGCCAAGTTTTTCAGCCTGAGCCCTGATAATCAAAGTCTGTCTAGCCAACCTCCTGTTCCTGCTGAGGGCTAAGGTCCCTTTCTACTTCCTCAAAGCTTGCTGAGGACAGGAGCAGCTGATGTCATGCAGCATTTCAGAGAGTACAGTGGTAGTAGGGTAAAAAAATAAAGTAATGCCCTGCAAAGTTCTTAAACCTTAGCAAGCAGAAGACTCAAATCCTTTGGAAATATCCCATCTCAATCAATTCTTTAGCACATCAGAGTTTCATAAGCCCCAAGTATTTGGAGTCTAATATACCCTACTGAGTGGAGTGCTGGACCAGGCTCCTATCAGCTAGTGAGATGATTGTGCACATCTTTTCCCAACTCTAAGTCCTGTATGTCACAGTAGCACCTGAAAATTGGCCATGGCTAGAGTATTTACACTATGGAAATTGGCAAATGCTACAAGCAGGACTTTTTTGTTTTTTTTTTTCAGAGAGCCAGTTGTTAAACCAATAAGCCTGTCTAAACTCACTGAGGAGACTGAATCCCAAAGAGGTTAAGCAACTTCCCCTACATCATAGCACATCCTGAGAAGACCCTATTGAGATCATCTACATATGCCAAAAAATCTAAGAGTTCCAGGCTCTGGTATGACCATGACTGGAGACCCAGTCTCAGCTCCAACCTCCCTCATGTAAGCTCCTGCCAGTAGACTCAGGACTATGGAAACTGAGCCTATGGCCACATCCTGCTTCTAGTTTCTTTCAGTTTAATGCCCATCTTAACTGCTCACCCTAAGAAGTTCCTACTACCCACACTCTACCCCAGATGATATATGTTGAGGTTCTAACAGTTCCCATTTCTGGCCTGGCTTTTATAAGATGCCTCTGTCTCCAATATTTGGGAATCACCTGAGTCCCACTTCAGGCAGGATATTAGATCTGCCACTTGGGCTAGGCTGGATTCCAGGGCCTTCCCTTGACTGGCTCCATTCTTTCACTCCCCACCTAGGTCATGTCGCTACCCAACACTGGGAAGAAGAAACAGAGTCCTTTCCTGGGTGCTGTAAATTGAAACATTTCTGCTAACAAGGCATAAAGCTTCCTACTTGTAGCTCCACTCTAGCACTTGGAATCACAGAATTTCAGAACTTTTTTTTTAAATAAAGCTAGAAAGATCCTTATAGATCTCTTAGTCCAGCCATTTTATCCAAAGAGAAAAGATTTCAATGATTTTAAGGGGGCCCTGGATTTCCAACTCCTGATTTCCCAAGAGTCCAGTCTGCTTTCCTTATTCCTGCAGCCTGCCCTCCCAAGGCCTTTTAATATGGGGATAACCTTCGGGGCACCCATGGCTGGAATTTAGGGGGTTTCCCATGAGCCCCTGGAAACTATACACATTATTGTCTGAGCCTGCAAAGAAAGCCCCATAGATTTCATTATATTTCCAATGAAATCCATGACCTTGCCAAATATTTAATTCTCTATTCTAAAGTCATTCAGCCTGCCTGGATCAGCAGTCCTTGACAGGTTGCCCTTGCTCTTGGTGACTTTTTCTGGACTGCTCAGCTTTAGGAAGCCCAGCAGGCCCTTTCTAACTGACCTCCCTGCCTTGGCCAGCCCATTCTTATGAGCACTTATACCTATCATTCACTGAGTCTTTAGCATATGCCAGGTCTTATAAAACACCTTAGTTAAATGCCCGGTACATTGTAAGCCTTCAACAAATATTAGCTGATATTATTATTAGGTACTCTGTTTCATTATTTCTAATGGTTACCAAAACCCTGAGAGAACAGGTCTATATGATGCAACTCACAAATGAGGAAATAAGGCTCGAGAGGAAGTAATGAGGCCAAAATAGTAAGTGGAGGATTATGATTCAAGGACACATCTGTGTGAAATGGAAGTCCAGGCTCCACAGTCCATTTGCTCCTTCATTCCATGGATTCCTGACCCCAGGTTCAGGTCCTACATTGATATGGTTTGGATGAATGGCCCCTCCAAATGTCGTGTTGAAATCTGCCATTTGATAATTTAAAAGAATCTTGTTTTTGATAGATTTGTTTAGTTCCTGGGGAGGCTGGACATTTTAATGTTATTTGCTATTTTCATAAAATATTACATTTGTGAATTATCTTTTCAAAAAAAAAAAAGAAATCTGATTTCCAGTGTTAGGAGGTAGGCCCTGGTGGGAGGTATTTGGATCATGAGGGAAGATCCCTCATGGATGGCTTGGTGGCCTCCCTGAGATAATGTTCACTTCATTAGTTGACGGATAGCAGTATGTTTGTTTAAAGGAGTCTGGCACCACCTCCTCTTTTGCTTGCTCCTGCTGTCACCATATGACACATTTGCTCCCCCTTCACCTTTCTTCTTGATTAGAAGCTCCCTGAAGCCCTCACTAGATGCAGATGCTGGCTCAATAATTCTTGTACAGCTTGCAGAACCATGAGCCAAATAAACCTCTTTTGTTTACAATTTATGCAGCCTCAGGTATTTCTTTATAGCAACGCAAAACTAACACAGATCCTACAACCTCACTTAGCTGCTATTCAAATGTTTAAAACCATACAGAAACCCTTGCGAGCAGCACAGACAGGTCATCTGGGCCCACACTAGCTAAGGCACCATAAAAAAAGATTGTGAAGATGAACATGCAATTATTTATTTTGCTCATTAGCATTTGGATTTTACATTTCTTTATGACAATGGAGAGACAGAGCAAGGAGTGGGGTTGCCACAATCTAAGTATTTTTCCCATCTTTAAAACTTGCTGATTAATCTATCTCAATGACTTTCCATCTTTAATGATATCCCAGTTAAAAGTTATTCTGGCATTAAGGTAAACAAATAAAATAAATTGTAATTCCTCAGTGCAACAGCAAGAAAACATGTAATCAAGCATGTACTTTCCCCAAAAAAGAGCCATCTCCTTTTACTTACATGCCATAATCCTTTCTTTGCCAACTTTTCTATTACAGATTGCCACACTTCTGTTGAGAATCCAGTCGTGAAAATATTATCAAAGCAGGGCAAGAAACTTTGTAAAACAATGGAGTCACCTAAAAGAAAGTTCCATAATAAAGAAATTTTAATGTGGAGAAACTCTAGAACATTTGGGAAAAGGTCCTCCAGTTAAGACCACATATAGACAAATGGTCAATTAAAGACATCAGAAAGATGGCCGGGCGCGGTGGCTCACGCCTGTAATCCTAGCACTCTGGGAGGCTGAGGCGGGTGGATTGCTCGAGGTCAGGAGTTTGAAACCAGCCTGAGCAAGAGTAAGACCCCATCTCTACTATAAATAGAAAGAAATTAATTGGCCAACTAATATATATAGAAAAAATTAGCTGGGCATGGTGGCTCATGCCTGTAGTCCCAGCTACTCGGGAGGCTGAGGCAGCAGGATTGCTTGAGCCCAGGAGTTTGAGGTTGCTGTGAGCTAGCTGGATGCACGGCACTCACGCTAGCCTGGGCGACAAAGTGAGACTCTGTCTCAAAAAAAAAAAAAAAAAAGATATCAGAAAGAAAAGCATTTTCAAAGTGGTATAAAGTCCTTTATAATTGACTCAAGTGGCAATTTTTTTTTTTTTTTAAGACACTGTCTTCCTCTGTCACTCAGTCTGGAGTGCAGTGGCCTCATCACAGCTCAATGCAACCTCTAACTCCGGGGCTCAAGTGACCCTCCCACCTCAGCCTCCCGAGTAGCTGGGACTACAGGCATGTGCCACTACACTCAGCTAATTTTTCTATATTTTATAGGGATGGGGTCTCACTCTTGCTCAGGCAGTTTTCAAAGTGCTAGCCTCAAGTAATCCTTTCACCTCGGACTCCCAACGTGCTAAGATTATAGGTGTGAGCTACCTCACACAGCCAGAAATGGCAATTATTTTAAGTTCACCCATAAAAATCAATTCCCTAAGAGTTAGGCAGCGTAATGTGAACTAACATTCACTTTACTTTTCTATTTTCCAAGCCCAATGATATGTATTCATATTTAATCCCTCAAACAAATTACTAAGGCAGTGCCTATTATCTCCATTTACAGAGAAGGAAACAGAAGCTTAAAGGAAGTTACAAAACTCACTTCCTTTGAAAAATGTGACAAATATTGTTACCCAAAAGATCAGAAACTATGACAAATGAAGGTAATATTCATGGCATATCATGCAGTGCGTTCAAAAAACCAAGACTGGACAAAAACCAAGACTGGAACCTAGATCTGCCAACTGTTTTAATCAATACACATTTATCTAACCCAGTGGACCATCAACCCACTGCACCTCATGATCCTCCAAACCACATCTCTCAAGCTCATGGACAAGAGTCCCCACTTGACCAAGGGGACAGGTCAAGTGTCAGAATAACTTGGCACATCTTCCAGAATTATTAATTTCAAAAATAAGCAAGTATCAAAACAAACATAAATATCAAAACAAACATGTACTATATGAAAGGATACAAAATTTCCATAAATATATTTTTCAAAATTTAGAAATTTGGTCATGAACATACATTTACTATCCAAAAAAGAGTTCATTGGTGGAAAAGTATTAGACGCACTGCCTTAAGAAGTCCTGTTAACTGTCCCCGTTCAGGGTGAGGGCAGAATGGAAACTACCATTATCTTAAGGGTTGGTTATTTTAAGGGGCGGTCACCAAGAAGCAGTTGTTTGGAATTCCCATAACTCCAGCCTGGATTCTGACAAAAGAGTGACATTTAAAAGATGCAGAGAAGACAGTGAGGAAGTGCAGGGAATAGGCCAAGGCATCAGATTAGAAGGTAAAATCTGGCCACTCTAGGTAAAAGGTCAACAGGAGAGCTACGCCCCATCAGCCCTTATCTAGAGACCTTCTGCTTTTCTGTCTAGGGGACATGGCTGGACCTGCCTCTAACCCCTTCCCACTGCTTGATACTGCTCTAACCCCGTCTTTGGGCCCAACTTGTCAAAATTTGTGGGACTCCATTCATATACCACAGAAGTTGCTCTCTCACAATTGCAGTGGGAACAGTTGGATTGATAACAGATGATCAGTTGTCAGCAGTGATTTCCCCATATCTGAAAGCCAAAGACTGTTCCTCAGCAATGCTAACATGTACCATTTTTCACATTTTAACGTTTCTGCCATTGGAGCATGTCTTCCTACAATCGCTGTCGTTTCTCACTGGCAGAACATAAACAAACGGCACATCTTAAATCAGTGCAACGTAAATCTGATCAAACACAGTATTTGAAGACAGCGGCCTGGTCATTGGTAGAACTTTAGACTGCATCATCACTGGCAAGGTGCATACCACATTGTGCTTTACAGGTTTCTGATTTTGACTAATCTGGGCCCCTGATAAAGCCATCTCACAGGCCAGGTCATTAGAGTAGTAATCTAATGCAGCAATGCAAAAGGGTCCCTTCCTCCAGCGGACAAGTCCGCTGCTCATGCTGAGCCGGGCAGTGAGCATCGCAGCCATGATGCTGAGCACTCATTATCAACTTTCACAGGATCCTCCATCAGCCCTTCCAGGTTATGTTCATAGCGAACCAGAATAATTTTCTTAACATATTGGAGAAATACTCGTGATAATCACAGGAAAGAGCAAAAATCACATAAGACAAGTAGAAGTATAAGTAAGGAAATTTCTGTGAATAACAACACAGAACACTTAAGGGGTCTGAAACAAAACTCCCAAAGCCTTAAGTCGTCCGTGCAAAAAGACTTAGCTGTTTTTACAAGGGCTTTAGCCACCAAAGCTTCCAACATACTAATGTGCAAACCAGTTTCATTCAAACTACATAAATCAGCCACAAAGAAATTATCTGCCCTGAAATTATCTCCACAGGAGCCTGAGTCTCCAGGAACTATTCAAATAAAATGACAAGTACTTAAAAAAAAAAAAAAAAAGTGTCCCCAGTCCCGACTTACTGCTCATAGTGGTGAAGACTCCAACAAGGAAATCAGCAACCTGTGCCTGGTCTTGACTGCTCTGCACAAGCCGCAGACCCTCAAAAAACATGCGAGCTGCTTCATAAGGCTGGCGCAACCGCAGCAAGGAATAACCAGCTCGGTAGTATCCCTGGGATAGGAAAAAAACCAGCACAGTCATGTACTATATCTCTCTTACCTGCCGCTGAAAGGAAAGGCAACATTGGCAACATGGGGAAATCCAACTCTAGAAGTCTTGCTTCTCTGTAAACATGGACTTCCAACAAGCACTGGATACAGGGTTTCCACATTATATTCTGTGCCACATTTTCCCTGTCATTTTTTAATGGCCAAGAAAATAATCGCTTTCAAATACATGACTCATACACCATATAACATATGACACAGAGAGAAGGAAGTAGGCCTGCTTCCCATTATATGTGGGGTTTATTTATTCATCCTTCAAATCAAGGCCTGGGCCAGAACAGAGGATGAAAAAATCCTACAACTAGTGTTCAGGAAAAGAATGCGATTGTCATGTAAACACAGAAGTTGTTCCCTGCTCCTTTCAATCAAAGTAAACACAATTTCCACTGGGTATGTAAGAAAAAAAGAATGTAATGACAAGCACTGAGATTTACTGAGCTCCATATCTGGTATATATTAGCAATATATCTCAGAGGCAAAAAAAAATTTTTTTGATTTCTGTAAAAAGGACTCTCAAATAGGAATAAAATGATATTGCCTTCCCCACTTTGATCATCCAAATCAGCATAAGGGATCTACCAAAGCAATTTTCTAAATTAACTGGTGTTCACCAGCTGGGTTCATAAAAAAGCAAGCATTTAAAAATTTCACATAGCACCAAGTCTCTGATTATTTATTGATTTGTTTTAACTTTCATTTGAAAGTCTCAAGATCTCAGATAACAATTTAAAAAAGAAGGACAAAATGTGTGTTTTGTTTTCTTTTGTCCAACCAAGTAAGCAAGCCAAGATGGTATAGAACCTCCCATTTCTTTGCTTTCCTCAGATTGAAGTTTCTTTCTTTCTTTCTTTCTCTTTTGGAAGGAGGTAGGGGATCAGAATATGCCACCCCAAAAGATGGCAGTCTGGCATAAGGATTATTTTGATCTGAAGGCATTTGAGATTTAACAGATACAAAAAGAAGTCTTCCCAGGGCTTCACTTAACTGACTAAAGGAAGAAACTCCTAAGAAATGAAAATTTCCAGAAATCTCTTCTCCCAGGGAAGTTTTATGGCCATGAAGAAGACTTAAAGTCAGCACCAAGATGGGCCTGCACAAACACAAACCTTGCTAAGATAGCCCTTATCTTCCATTAGTTTCCCGCCCACCCCCCTCTCCAGTTTATAGCTCCTAGAGCTTAACAACTCTTTGTCTTGTCATCTCCACAATTTATCATTCTTTGTTTAGAATGGTATATAAGCTCTCAGGCCTATCTGCTTCTTTGGGGTCTTCACTTCTTTTATAGGAAGATCCCATGTCACATAAAAGTTAACATCAAATAAGATTTGTATGCTTTTCTCCTGTTAATAAGTCTCTTGTCAGTCTAATTTGTTAAGGTCACAGACACCAAACGAAAAGTGGGTAGAAGGGAAAATGTTTTTTTCTCCTCCCCTACAGACTACAGAGGACAATGGCTGTTGGGGAGGAGAGTAGAGATGGAGAGAGACACCCAGGAGCTCTGAGCAAGAGTGGGGAGGTACCCTGACAGCTGTGCTATCAGCTTTGGCCGCTCAAAGAAGAACCCAGGAGCATCACCCAGGACCACTTCAGCCCCTTGGGCCACAGCCATTGCCTCCACCTCAGGGATGTGGGCAAACCCAACTACTCCCCATCCCATACCAGTTTAAGATGGTAAAACCCTAAACTGCCTTTGAGAAGAATTTCTCAGGAATACATTCCCATTTTTAAAACTAGTCAACAACGTCTGAAGTATTCATCCTTCAAGAACAGAGAGGCTCTACCTATAATGTAAAATATCCAAATCCCTCTCTCAGGGTTGGAGCAATCTATAGGGCAAACCTCCCCCACTCCCTTCTGTTCTGTTTCTAGCAATCATACATGAAATGCAGATCACTGAGAATATAAACAACTCCTGTTCACTGAGTACCAACAAATTTACTTAATGTTTCCTTAATCCACAAAGCAACCCTAAGGCATAGGCATTATCTCACCTTACAGTTGAGGAAAGTAAGGCTTAAAGAGAGAAAAGTAGATTCGTCCAAGCTGCTGAAATTAGTACGCAGCAGAGCATGAGACAGAAAGGCCTGTGCTTTTCCCACTTTATGGTGGAGCCTCTCTATAAATTGCCTATACCACTAATTTGACACTTAATTTTATGTTATGCTTCTTTAGCTGGCTCCAGAATCACTGTTGAATTTAAGGCCTCTGATTTTAATGCTAGTCCTCTCCCCAGCTTGAATGTGAATCACTCGAGGGCTGGGATGGTGTCTTCTACTCCTTTTGTCTGCCTTGGGGCACCAAGAACAGTGAAGGTGCCTTGAAGAGTGGCATTCAGGGCATTTTAGCTGAAAAAACAGTCACATGATCATTTGACCTTTGTTAACAACCTTACTGACCTCTCAAACTTCCCTGATCTCTCCAAGGAGCTGGTTTCTACTGTAAGAAGTGCTTCTGAAGAATCTGCATCGTGCTGTCTACCCAGCTTGCATTTGAAATAAAGCTTTACTAAAATGAAACTTGCAAACAGCAAAGAACGTGAACAGATAATGAGTGATGGTGTGACTACACTAGACCAAAACAAGCTGCTCCGTGATCTCCACTGCACAGCACTCCATTCACTAGGAGGCCAAGCTCCCCTGTCCTCTACAAGTGCACTTAAACCCTTGGCCAGCATGCTTTTCACTCTTCTCCAGATAATTCTCACATGCCCTATGGGCATCTGCCCGAAGTGCAAAGAGAGTTGAACTAGAAGCACTCCTAGCATTTCCATTTTAAAATAAGGGACAAAAAGAAGCAGGTTAAGAGAAAGGAGACAGCAGCCCCCACCCCCCGCTGCCACTCCCCTCCCTGTACCTTCACTTGCGCCCCAACCCCCACCCCCGCCTTACCCTCCTCACCACCCCACCCCTACCTTCACGTAGGTTGGATCCCACTGGAGACATTCCTTGGCAGCAACAAACGCCTCGTTCCACTTCCCAAGGCTGTAAAACGCATTGGATTTGTTGCACAGCAGCACAGCCAAGTCCCTCGGGGGAACCCTTTGAGAAAGAACAAACCAGTGGTCTGTAAAGCAGTCATTTTGCAAATACAGAAAATCCTTGAAGGCCACCGCTCTGGTACTGGCTGTTGCCACCAGGAAGGGGGTTTCAGGGGGTTTCAGGAGAAAATGTCTCATTTATGATTATCAGACCAGTCTCACGGGTTCCTAGAAAGCCTGGAGCATTTACAGTGTACAAATCTGTCCTTCCCCACTCTCAAATCTCTGCCCCCACCTTTTAACGACAAATGTTCTCAACACCTTGGTTCCATCCCCCACTGATTTCCACAGATCTTTTTATTTTTTGAGACCACTGGATAACATGCTGGGAAGATAGTGACCGATCCTAATGACGGAGAGCATGGAGTTCCCACTGAGACTTTATATGGAGTTCAGATACAGTATGAACCACTCTACATGCATGTCACAGGAAGGGCCATTAAGAACATGTGATCACACCATCTCCACTGCCAGCTCTCAGAAAAACAGGCTGTAGGTAGAAGGCCTGTGCAGGCCCTGGGAGCAGGGTCTATGGGCATGAAATTCCAGGGTCCTGGTACCCATAGTGTGGACCAAAGGGGAGAGGCAAGGACTCTGCATAAGACCCTGGCCCCACAGACTCCTGCCTATGATGAGAGGCACAGCTGCAAGATGGCCAAGGGGGTAGGGGTGCCCTAAAACATGGCAGGGCAACAGCCCCTTTTGTGTGTGTCTACTAGACCCTAGGGTAATGCAGCTTCAAGGCTGGTGCTGAAACCAGGTTGAAAGAAGAAGGAAAATGCAAAAAAAAAAAACCCACAATACGTAAAGAGAAGCCCAGGTGCCACTGGAATGTTAAGACACATGAGAAAGAAAAGCAAGGCTTATGATTTCTTTTTTTATTTAATATTTTAATTGCAAAAATAATACAAATCACTATAGAAAAGTAAGGTAATACAGATAAGCACAAAAATAAAACAATGTATAAATCACCTCTATTACCACCCGCACCCTCAATGCTTTGTGTGTCTGGTTCTTTCTGGCCCATCATTCCCTCTCAGTGAAGGGATGAGGCTCCAGAAACGCAAAAGAGGCAATGGGTGATTAGCACGGGAGCTGCGAATGCCAGTGTTGGAGACACCATCGTGCCCATCCCAGACACCCTGGCCGGTGCAGCCATTCCCAGTCACAGTGACTGTTGGCTGCAGCTAGGGGCTCTCAGCACCCTGCTCTCCAGAGATTAAGCCTCAGCCTAATGAGAGCTGCCCTCTCACCAGGAAATAACACCCATGGTTATGGACTGAATTGTGTCCCCTCTCAAAATTCATAGGTTGAAGTCCTTAACCCCAATGTCAGAGTATCTGGAGATGGAGCCTTTGGGAAGTAACTATGTTTAGATGAGGTCATGAAGGTGAGGCCCTCATGATGGGATCAGTGCCCTTATAAGAAGAGACACTAGAGAGCTCGCTCACACTCTCTCTCTCCATCACGTGAGGACACTGTGAGAAGACAGCCACCTATCAGCCAGGAAGAGGGCCCTCTTGGGAGCACCTTGATCTTGCACTTCCCAGCCTTCAGAACTGTGAGAAATAAATTCCTGTTGGTTAAGCCCCCCAACCTATGGTATTTTATTAGGACAGCATGAGCAGACTAATACAGCCCCAGTCCCCGGGGGCCAGGCAGCCTACAACCATGCCCAACATGAGAATCAAAAGGTTAGCCCCTGGCCTCAAAGTGGAACCATCTCTGCAGTACAGTTCCTGCCCCAGAACTCCCCATAGGATCAGACCCAATCTGGCTCCAGTTTACACACCATCCCTGCTTGGAGCCTTCTCTTGCCCCATCTTGCCTCCCTCAGTCCCCTTGTCCTGAGAGTACTCACTCAGTAAGTCACATGCACCCAAATCCCTATGTTAACTGACAGCGGCAGGAAGGCAAAAAGCAGGGGATGAGCAAAGGGAATAAATAGTGTCAGGAAGGCTCCATAAAAGGCAACTTATGAGCGTCCAGAAGTCCCATTAGTGGTCACACAGGTAGTAAGTGGTGGAACTGAGGTCTGAGCACACACAGTGTGGGGTCAGTCTACAACCATAGCCACAAGCCAATTACACTCGACGCAAGTTTAGCTAGATCGTAGACTCTAAGGTGACTGCGGTAGGAGGTGGAGCCATGATTAAGCAATTACTCTGGTGCCATTTCTCAGCACAAGTTTAGGCTGTGTGTACGCCCACAGATGCCAACCTCTGCTTCCTCTCCTACAGCTGTTCCCAAATGATGATCTGGGAACCTCTGGGGGTCCTCAAGACCATTTCAGGTGGTCCTCAAGGTCAAACGGTTTTCACAACTGTGGCCCCCAAATAATGTTACCTTTTATGGGAAAGAGACTTCTGTGATTAACGAAAGATGTGGCAGATGTGATCAACATAAGGGTCTTGAGAAAGGGAGATTATCCTGGATTATGACATGATTACAAGAGTCCTTACAGAAGTAGACAGAGGGAGATACCCACTAAAACAGAGGAAACAGCGATGGATGGCAGAAGCAGAGATTGGAGCAATGACTTCCGAAGATAGAGGAAGGGGACTCGGGCCAAGGAATACAGGCTGCCACTCAGCAGTGCCCACGACCTTAGTGCCCAGGTGGTATGCACCGTGGCCAGCGAGTAAATGGCATAGATAATTAAGAAAAGGGCAGGAAAATTGATGCTCTCCTCAGAGCTTCCACAAAGAACCAGCCCTTGCTAACTAACACCTGGATTTTAGCCCCGTAAGACTCATTTAGGACTTCTGACCTCCAGAACTGCAAGAGAATAAATTTGTATTGTTTTAAGCCACTAAATTCACGGTAATTTGTTACAGTGGCAACTGGAAATTAATGCAACAGTAATACTAAGACATTATGTACCTTTTTCACCCTCTTTCTCTCACATGCATACAAGAAGTTTTCCAGAAGCTACTTGACATGTGATATGGCCAACAGACTGAATGCAGAAGCAGATGTAAGAATCTAGCTGTCTTCTATCTATTGAGACAGACATTAAGGAGAGTCGCAAAAATATATCATTCTTCTTACTAAATTTTTTGTTTTGGAAAATACGGTTATTTTTCATAAAAAATATAACATGTAATGGGGTTTATTGATATTATAAATGAATTTGTAAATACATATTTTAATTTTTTTTCTCAGTTTTAGGTTCTCTATAGATTGTTTTGATAGCTACAACCTACATAAACAAAAGTTCTCTGGGATCCTCAATAACGTTTAGCAGAACAGGTCTAGTAGAAGCTGAAGGGGCAGGAAAAGAGAAGATGAGCCTTAGTGCCCTGGGGGTATGCACTGTGGCTAGGGAGTAAATGGGTCGGATGAGTAAGAAGATGAAATGAATGACAGTGAGGGGGTTGGGGGACTTCAGCTATCCCAGGAACTCTGACCGCTCAGCCAGCCAGAAGAGGAAATTCTTTTGTGTTTATCAGCAGTCCCCTGCGTTTCACTTTCTATTTCCCTTGTTACACTAACATTCTCCCTTTGGGTTTACGAGCTGAGAAGCAGAGAAGACAAATAGGAAGTGAGGGAGAAAGAAAACAGAAACTAAGTGGTGTGATAAGAAATGAGAAGGAAACATAAACAACAGAATCCCCTTTTACTCAAAGAAGAAAGAATGGGGAGAAAATCCAAACACTCACCCCCATTGGTGTAACTGCAGGAGAATGTGGATGGCTTCATCGTACTTTCTGATGGCCAAACAGAAGTTCCCATTCCTAAAAACCTGGTTGCCAGATTCTTTCAACAGCTCAGCATAAGCTATCGGGTCCATCCTGGGAGGGGATGGAGAAGAGGCTCGCCGTCAGGCCCGTGCAGGGCACGTTCACCTTCCCATCTGCAGTGCTGAGAATCTGGACAAGGAGGTTGTTCATTCTGGCTCCACCCACCCCAGACGGCACAACCTGGCAACACCTCTCACCACCAGGGAACCAGACAAGATCATTCCTTTCTCAATGCTTTTCTGACCTCAGGAGCAGCCAAAACAGTTCCAGTTTTCAGGATCTGGAGGAGGCCTCTTCCACGCATGAGGCAACATAAACCCGGCAGGTAGTGAGCACTATTTCTCTAACAGGCACTATTATTACTCTCTCCTCTGTCCACCACCACAGCCCATAAGAAGGCATTGTCCCCACCGTTCAGAGGAGGAAACTGAGGCTCCAAGAGGTTCCAGTCATTTGCCTCATGAATCTGCTAATGGCATTTCCCAGTTCTGACCCCAGATCTACCAATTCCAAGTTTCTTCTCTCGACCACTGTACCACATCACCCTATTGGTACAAGCAAAACTCGGTTGACAGTCCTTCCTCTCTCCTAGATGCTGGGACAGGGAGGGAAGGCCCAGTCCTGAAGGCGTGGATATACAAGTGGCTAGGACACAGGGCCACAACCACTGCCTCTCCTGCCTCCCCTCCCTTCTTAAAACAATACAAAATAACCCTTGGGGTATTTGTCCCTGAGACTGCCATTGCCTGCCTAAGTGTCTGCACCCCCCAAAGGCACTTTCCTCTTTCAGGACATAACCCCTATTTTGTTCCTATTTGTAGCCCTGTGGTCTAGCACATAAGGGGTGCTTAAATATCTGCGGTATAGCGATTTGAATGCAAGACCCAGAGAAGATGCACATTACTGATTTTCTCCAGTGTGGCCTGGGTGGCTGGAAAGAAATGTCTGGCAGCCCTGACTATGTGGCAGGCCTCAATAAGCATGCCAAACAAAGGCAGGAGAGGAGAGTGCCCAGGAGAGCTTCAAGAAGCAGCTGCCAAGGAGACAAGGGAAAGGTGGGGGTCAGAAGAGATGTCCCATAGGATTCCATCTTCTAGGGATGGCAGTGGGAAAGGCACATTGGTGGGAAGGATCTTAAATAGGTGAACAGTTCAGGTGTTCACAGATGCCATGTATCTATGGAGTCATAAAATCTATTGGGTTTTTTTGTTGACCAAGACAATTGTCGGATAAGTAATAATTATTACTATTTCTGTCATTTCAAATCTTGGTGGGAGGTCAAGGAGGGGAGCAGACCCAAGCAGGTACAAATGGTAGTTTATTTTGAACACATTTGGCTTCTCGGGAATATGGTATGTAAATGGTGCTACATTCCTTAGGCAGAATCAGACACATGACTCTTAAGTCAGAATACAAAATCCTACCTACACTTTTCATTCAACAATTTCTAAATTATATGACTGTTGTTTATACAGGGGTGACTGAAGAGAGCATGAAAAAAAAAAACTTAAAGAATCGATGCACCAGAGAATAAAGATATGTTTATCTTCCAAATATTGTCAGTCATTTGTCAAATAAGTATTTCTTAAACTGGTCATGATCACACAAGTAGAACAAGAAAACCTCTATAACTGACAGGGAGTTAATACCCCTCCTTTATAAATAACCTTTTGCACTGCAAGAAAAGACCAATACTCTGACCAAAATGTACAACGGTTCTAAATAGACAATTCACAAAAGAACACCAAGTAATTTCTACTAAATATATGGAGAGTGGATAAACAGGATCACCCTCACTGGTGCATAAAAAAATGAAAAATTTAAAAAGATATCATTGGAAAATAATTACAAGAATGACACCAAATGTTCTGAGCATCTGTTACAGGGGAAATAAACTATATCATGGATAGATTTAGCCTCACTGATGTTTGCCACAGTGAAAAACTGAAAATAACCCTAAATGTCCCAAAATGTATAACAGATTTAAATCAGTTATAGAATATCCATACAGTAGGACACCACACAGTTATTTTTTTAAATGACGTTGTGAAAGAACATTTAATGATAAAGTTAGTAAATGAAAAATACAGGCTACTGTAGGGGTGAAAAGGCATATAATCCCAAACAAGTTTTAAATACATAAAATATATTGAAAATATGCCAAAATGTTAACAGTCACACCACTGGGATCAGACAGGGTTTTAATTTTCATCCTTATGTTTTTCTGAATTTCCAATCACTCTACAATGTACCGACTTATTAATCAGACCATAAATGTTATTAAAATGAGACTCTCTAAGAGTTTGATTGAAGAATTCAAACACGAAATGTTTCCACTGTATTTACAAATACAATAAAAGCTATTCACTTCAAAATAATCTTTTCATATTCCTCTAGAAACCAACAGTCAGCTCTTAATGTTATGTGGGCAAACATCAAATGTATTTCACCCACTTATGTTTCTTCTTTTTCTTGGTACGATCTCAGGAAAGGGGAAAGGAGGAATGCCCAACCACACGGAAGGCTTTTTTATTCCTAACAGGATTCGCTGAGAGTTACATTCTCAGTGTAGTGAAGAATGCTTTATATCTCCACCCTAGAATATAGATGACTCAGTTGTCAGTTCTCTTTAAACACACACACACACACACACAAAAACACACAACTCGTGGCCTATTTGTAAGATGAAATTATTAAATACAAGTGGTAATAATTTACCATAGTGACAGAACCCTTCATCACTAATATGTACTAAGCACCCAGTAGGTGCTTTATGTCACTGTGTCTTTTCATTCTTACAAGCCCCATGAGATAGGCACGACTATGTCCCCATTTTACATACAGGGAAACTGAGGCAAAGAGAAATTAAGCTACTTGCCACAGTCATACAGAAATTGGTAATGCTAGAATTTCAACCTTGTTTACTTCATTTTAAGAGATAAACTACACTCTAAAGGGCCAAGACAGAGGCTAAAAGATCAGCATCCAGTTAAATCACTATAGTGTGCGATTATTTTGCCTGGCACTAAGCACTCTCTGCCCCACACCTTCAGTTTTCTTAATGGTGCGAAAGCTACAACATACCATAAAGACAGTTGCACACTGCTGCACTATTGACTTTTAGTCATTTTCACCGTGTCCCTATGAGAATTCAAAGTTCAGTTGTTGGGAGGTGTCACAGGCTGCCTATCTACTCCCAATGAAGCAGATGCAATAAAAACATAAAAGTACCAAGTAGATTTTGATATAAGCACGTCTGAAACAGAGCAGACCCAGGTCATTGTATTTTTAATTAATCATTGTATATATGTATCCACATGAAATTCTGTAACTGACTTACAGGATTAGAGCAAAGACTGCCAACAGGGGTGGGCTCCCGGGGAGCTGAAATGAGCAGAGAGGGAGGCTTTACCTTCATACTTTATCTGTGTACTACCTGATTTTTCTTTTTTTGACAAAATAAATTTTTTTTAATTTTTATATAAAAATAATTTTTTTATATTTTTTTCAGCATATTATGGGGGTACAAATGTTAAGGTTACATATATTTCCCTTGCCTCTCCTCCCCCCTCGAGTCACAGCTTCAAGCGTGCCCATCCCCCAGTTGGTGCACTTCATACTCATTATGTATGTATATACCCACCCACGCCCAGCCTGCCCAACAACCAATAGATGTTATTCCTATATGTCCACTTAGGTGTTGCTCAGTTAATACTAATTTGCTGGTGAGTATATGTGGTGCTTATTTTTCCATTCTAGGAATACTTCACTTAATAGAATGGGTTCCAGCTCTAGCCAGGAAAATACAAGAGGTGCTATATCACCATCGTTTCTTATAGCTAAATTTACTCCATGGTATACATATACCACATTTTATTAATCCACTCATGTATTGATGGGCACTTGGGTTGTTTCCACATCTTTGCAATGGTGAATTGTGCTGCTATAAACATTTGAGTGCAGATGTCTTTTTCATTGAGTGACTTTTGTTCTTTTGGGTAGATGCCCAGTAATGGGATTGCTGGATCCACTTGCATCGCTTTTCTTGACAACAAATTTGTTTACTTTGGGGGATGCCAAAAGCCATCAATGATGCCAGATCCATGTTGAGACCAGAAAGAATAAGTTTTAAAACTGACCCCCTCCTCCCCACAAGAAGGGGGCCATAAACCATCAGGAGTAAGAATCCAAAGTCAGAATTCATTCTGGGGACTTCAATTTATTTTCTTTGCTTTCCTTTCTTTTTCTCTTGGGGGAAGGGGCGCAAAGGCAAGAGGAGAAGTGTAGGGATTCTCTTAAGAAACTCACTCAAAATCTTTCAAAAGGCCCCTGGAAAAGTAAGAAGTGCTGGTCACAAGCCAAGCCTTCCCTACCCAGGGCATTTAAGTAGAACAAGAATGACCAGATCTCCTTGCCACCCCCCTCAGCTATCTCACCAGCCTGACCCAAGCCACAAATCTCAGTTCAGTGGCCTGCCATAAACCTACAGCTGGCTCAGTCTAGCTTCTCTCCTTTGTCCATCAACTTTAAATTGCTCCTCCACTGATAGCTTTATTTACACCCAACTGTATACATGCCAAAGTCAAGATGGTGATTCTGAAACCAGTTGCCAAGTCCAGCTCTGAACTGTCTTTGTAAAATGTACATCCTAAAAGTCATATTCCCAGTAAAAAGTAAACACCACAAATAGCTATCTCCCTAATACGCAGTATCTCTTGACTTGTTTTTAAATCCATACCTCTTTTGTTGAAATTTTCTCACACTCACCTAAGACACATGTGACCGCACCCCATAGGATCTGTAGCTTTCAAAATACTACAATCCTAATATTTACAAAGCACCTTCCCTACACTAGGCACTGTGCTGGGCATCAGGGGTTTGATAGTAAAAGATAGCCACTATTCCCACCTTCTAGAAGTGTATTGTTTGTTAGGGAGATAAACATTAAATTTTAAAAACCATACACATATTACAAATAACAGATTTTTTTTTCTTCTTGTGAAGAAAAAGTAGAGGGTATAAGAAAATAGGAGAATACAGCTTAGATTCCAGAGGTCAAGGTTGGTCTTTCTTGAAATTGACATTTAAGTCAAGATCCAAACTATGAGCAGTTGGATGGCCCAGCCAAGACCAAGGATAGGTGGCCAGGCCAGGAAAACAGTATATGCAAAGAGCTTCACAGTTCAAGAACTGCCAGGCGAGTAGGATACAGAAGTGAAGCTGAGGCTGGGCGCGGTGGCTCACACCTGTAATCCTAGCACTCTGGGAGGCCAAGGAGGGTGGATCACTCAGGGTCAGGAGTTCGAGACCAGCCTGAGCAACAGCGAGACCCTGTCTCTACTAGAAAAATAGAAAGACATTAATTGACCAACTAAAAATACACAGAAAAAATTAGCCAGGCATGGGGGCGCATGCCTGTAGTCCAGGGGTCCTCAAACTTTTTTAACAGGAGGCCAGTTCACTGTCCCTCAGACCGTTGGAGGGCCATTGGAGAGTGCGGCACACATTCCACACATGCGCACTGTGGACCCAGGATGAGTCAGCTGCTAAGCAGGACAGGCATCGGTGGCAAAAACACCCGGTGGGCTGGATAAATGTCCTCGGTGGGCCTCATGTGGCCTGCGGGCCATAGTTTGAGGACACCTGCATAGTCCCAGCTACTTGGGAGGCTGAGGCAGAAGAATTGCTTGAGCCCAGGAGTTTGAGGTTGTTGTGAGCTAGGCTGACACCATGGCACTCTAGCCCGGGCAACAGAGTGAGACTCTGTCTCAAAAAAAAAGAAAGAAAAAGAAGTGAAGCTGGAGGAGTAGGTAATGGCTGCAGTGGATAGATGACCTGCGATCTTGAATGCCATCAGAGGGGCTTGGATTCCTCTCAAATGCAACCGGGAATCAGCACTGTCCACTAAAACTCTCTATGATGATACAAATGTTCTATTTTGCACTATTCCATGCAGTAGGCACTAGGTACACACAGCTATTGTACATTTGAAATATAGCTAGTATAGTCTATGGCCATGCCATCCTGTATGTGCCTGACCTCGTTTGAAATATAGCTAGTACAACTGAAGAACTGAATTTTAAATCTAACTTAATTTTAATTAACTTTACTATACCTAGCCACATGTGGCTAGTGTCTATCATACTGGATAATAAAGCGCTAGAAGGTTTTAGGCTGAGGATTAATAAGACCTAATTGATACTTCTGGATCATTCTGGCTGCAGGCAAGATGAAGAGAAATGGGCCAATGTAAAATGAATGCATAAAGTATAGCCAATAGGAGTTGCTGATAGACATCACGGGTGTGAGGGTTGGGGGCAAAGCTTTTGGCCAAATTTTACTTTGCAGTATAGCAATAGGGACAAATATAAATGCATATAACATTGGATTTTCTTTACACACACACACACACACACACACACTCTAACCCCCTGATGCCAGTGCATCTAATGGCATAAAGAATATGCTCTGTGGAGGACACAGACTTGGGAAATACACAAAAGCCTGAGAAGGGTACCTTATGACTGGCAAGGATGTACCAGACATAAATATATTCTATAGGACAATATATCCCGTGAGCCAAATACGGCCTCACCAACCTATGAGTGTTTCAGGACAGCAGCAGCTGGGGGAGAGAAAGCGGCAGCCACAGAGCGCCACTCTCTGCTCTAGAAGAGAGGAGGTCATCCCTGTACCCGCACCAGGAAAGGTGCTTCTCCACCTCAACCAATCAGAAGTCAGGATGCAAACTTTCTTCCTGTTTGTTTTTTAGTTTGTTTAAGGGAGGGCAGAAGGTGTTAGAAGGTCAGTGGGAGAAGAAAGAATAGAGGTAGTTTTGGAGTTCTTCTCCAAGTAGCATTTCTCTCATTACCAAAGTATTTAATAAATTTGGGGCAGCCACTAGATGCACTGATCTGGAAGTGGTTTTTCCTATAGCATGCATTCTCAATGTGGCAGTACAACCCCACAGGAAAGAAAATGAGTTCTTAGGGAGTGAAACTTTTTATTCTTTTTATGGACAAAGCACAGATACACACACAATACAGAAACAGACATACAGTGTTACCTGTGGTATTTAAATTTCACAGGGGCAGGGGAGAGCTATATTAGCTACAAGTCTAAAAAGGTTAGGGGGGAGCTATAATGAAATAAAGCTTGAGAAACACTGCCTTAGAAGAAACTGAGGATGGAAGAGAAGAGGTGTTAAAAGTGGACAGAAGATCTATCTACTGAAAAGTGGATAAATAAAATGCGGCAAATACATACAATGGAATATTATTTAGCCTTCAAAAGGAAGGAAATCCTGACACATGTTACAACATGGCTGAATCCTGAGGGCATTGTGCTAAGAGAAACAAGCCAGTCACAAAAAAGACAAATATTTTATATGCAGTACTATGTAGTCAAATTCATAAAAACAGAAAGTAAAATGGTGGTTACCTGGGGCTGGAAAGAAGGAGAAATGGAGAGTTGTTGTCTAATGGATATAGAGTTTCAATTTTGCAAATGAAAAAGTTCCAGAGATTGGCTGCACAACAATATGGATATACTTAACACTACTGAACTGTACACTTAAAAAGCATTAAGATGATAAATTCTGTTGTGAGTTTTTTACCACAGTTCAGAAATTTAAAGCAAAAAGAAGGCAAAACAAAAACCCAGTAAGGAAGAAAAAGAAACACTAATACACCAATGTAAAATAATATGTTCTAGACTTGCATTTGTACCCCAAGTTTAACAGAAAAATTATTTTCCTTATGCCCACTATGCTACACCAAGATACTCAAACAATGACAGGATACCAAAGCCTCCCTTGTTTCCATGGTAGTACTGATTCACATGCACATCCAGGAAAGCAAAGGCTGCCAAGATAATAATTGCTGGCCCCACTGACAAAATGGCAATTAAAACTCAGCCCTAGCAGGCATCATATGCAGGTAGTTTGCAGTACTCAAAATGTAATTTCTGTGACGATAAAAAAAATTTTTTGTTATGCAATGAACGTATTTAGGATTATAGTCAAATGGTCAGACAACACACATTAACAACTCCCATGTAATATCAAGGGAAAAAATATATAGTAGAGATCTGTCATATCCCATTGTTTTGACAAGGCCAATTTTTTTTCTTTTAATATTTTTATTGAGGCAAAACACAATAATGTGTGTAAGATGCAACAATCTTAAGTGTCCAGCTTATTTAATTTGTATAACCATATTAAGTCCCACCCAGATCAATATATAGAACATTTTCAGGTCCCCAGAAGGTTCCTTCTTGACCATTCCTGGTCTAAACCCACCTTCACCCCTATTCTTACTTGTAAACCACAGATGTGTTTTGCCTGTTCTTGAATCTCCTAATCACAGTGGGTTCCCTCCTGGGTCTGATTTCTTTGCTTAATTATTTATGTGGGTAAGACTCACCTATATTGTTGCATATATCAGTA